TGCCCACTGGGGCAAGGTGTCATCAGCACGGCTCTTGGCTTGCTGCGCGCTTTGATCCGGGGTGTAGGGCGCGAGGTTGTGATGTGAAGGCCCTGGCGGAGGTTTCTGGGGAGCAGAGTTGTTGTAGGATGTGTGGTCCTCCTGTTCCTTCTCGGCTGCCTCCTGAGAGCCGGTCGGTATAAGCGGGATGTTAAGTGACGGCTTTGTGCAGAGGAGGGCACGAAGCTTTGTGACCAGGATGACCTGGGGCTCAGGGCTGTGCTCTCCCAGGCGTTGATTTGAGGGTTCTGGTGCGAAGGCTGCGAGCTCCTCCAGGACAGGTGTGTGCTTCTTTTTCTGTCCTGGCCTTTCCCTCTGAATTTTCTGTAGTTTGTGGCTTTCAAATGCAAGGCTTTTTTTTTTCCTCGCAAATGGAAATGGGAGGAGGAATGCCCCAGCTGGGCTAGCAATGACGATCTTATTGTGAGGTGTTAATCCCACCCCATCACACAGTAAAGAAGAGGTGTCTGTGTTATGTGGCGTGGCGTGCTCGTAGGGAATTCAGTTGCAGAAATAGGAATTGGAGAAGACCTAGTTTATTTCCATTGGCTGATAAAGGATTGTTCCCTTTTCCATAGAGCTCTGTCCTGTATTAAATCAGAGTTGGGCTTTCCTTAGGAAAAAATCAAATGAGCAGAGACAAAAACAGTTCAGTCATTCAGAGGATAAATGGTGTATTTGGATTAGACCTAAGAGACACACTTGATCTGGCTTTGGAAGCCTTCAGCTCATCTTGAGGTAATTGCTCTATTCTTTCTGAAATTTTCTCCACGTTTTGTAAGTGTAGAGCTTGTCTTTGGTTTTGGTTTGTTGTTTTGTTTTTTTTTTTTTTCTTCTTAACGCCTCAGACATCCTCAGCAACGGGTGACTGAATTGGTACCTGCATGGGCTCCTTTTGGGTGAGGTACTGAAGGACTGTTAGTTCCTTATGCTGTTTGCATAGTGGATATGATATCTGGAGTATTAGCTCTAAATTTCTGGTTTTGGTCCTTTGCCTGAAAAATGCTTTGTTTGTTTTTTCAGTTCAAAGAAGAGATTTCCAGGCGGTTTAAAGCCAAACAGGATCAGCTGGTTCTGATCTTTGCTGGGAAGATCCTGAAGGATGGAGACACGTTGAATCAACATGGGATCAAAGATGGACTGACTGTACACTTGGTCATTAAGACTCCGCAGAAGTAAGAAACTGTTTTGTCTTGGAGGGCTGAGGGTAAATGGATGATGCGAGTAAACGATGGTGGAGTATTTCTGCCCTGTCAGTGACTGAAGCGGAGTACTTGTGCGAGGCCTTAGTGCTGGCTTTGGGGTGTGTGTGAGTCTGACTGCGGTGATCCGGCAGGAGAACTCTCCCAGACTCCCTGCTGCGACTTTGCCATGCGGCTGTGGGGTTTATCACTCGGCCTGTCTTTTCCCTAGGTTACGCAGCTGTGTAAGTGCGTGGCAAGTACCTGAGGGGGTTGTCTCTTCTTTAAGACAACTTGTGTATATGGCTTTGCATATTTTGAACCTTTATAATTTAATAATCTTGAAAGAACCCGTTGGGATTTTATACCAGTTCTAACAAAGATAAGTTGCTGTTTATAGAAATTACTTTCCCAATGAATTCATGTTGAAGTTGAAATTAATACCCATTTTTTCTTTCACTTTCTATCATATACTCTGCTCTAAGCCTGTGCTCACGCTTGCTTAGGTGCTGTGGGAGGCGGAGCACTATCTGTAGGGCAGAACAGTGTTTCCGTGTGGTACCTGTAGGCATGTTTGCATGGGCAGGTGCAGACAGGTGGGTGCTCCGCCTCAGTGGGAATGCACAGAGGTTCGGGCTGTATGACCACGTGCACACAGCGGTGTGGTGGTTAGCTCAGGCACAGTACTGCAGGCACACCCCACAGCAGCTCCCAGTTTGGACACGGCTCACTTGTGTTCGTCCGCTCAGCCTGAGAAAGGGACGCAGGATTGACCTCAGGGTCCTGCAGGGTTAGGCTTTTCCCAGCGCTGTCCAGTGGAGCGATGGGCACAGAAGGTTCTTGGGAACAGTTGCTGTACTACAGGTGCAGCCACGTCTTTTTGATCTCGAAACCCCCTTTGTAACCATTTCTTGGGCTCTCTACTGCAGTCTGATCAGGCTCCTGGTGAACTAACCGGGCTGCGTCTTTCTCTTTGTGCAGTTCTGCTGTCCCCTGGGAGAGCTGCCTTACTGGCTTAGTCAAGATTAGTGCTTCCCCTCTTTTTTTTTTTTTTCTTCACAAAGACAAGCATGTGTATTGTCAGCTTCTGCAGGAGGTCTCTCTCTGGATTCTGCATCTCCAGGTAGCCTGATAGGCTGATGCTGTTTACCACTGTCTCTGCAGCAAACTGTGGTACTTGTGAACCATTTCAAAGGGTAAACGAGAGAGCTGTCCTGGGTTGCTGATTTTCTTCCTGCTAATATTCATAGACAAGTGCTTACCGAAGACATTACAGCCTCTTCCTGTGCTGAGAGAAACCAAGTGACCTTTCTCCAGCTTCCTTCTTCCTTTTTTGTTCAGCTTCCTATTTGCTTTGTTTCCCCACTCTCTGCCTCCTTCTCAGTGGCCACTGGTTTTCAGCAGCGGTCGGGTGAGTCTGGAAAGTGGACAGGGACCTTCAGGTTTGATATTTAAAGTCCTAGAATCAGAGTGAAAAAGGAAAGGAAGTTAGAGAAAGGAATCATCCTTGGTTTGGAAAAAAAAAAAATCAAGAAATTGTTGTTCTTATTTACTTGTAAGTGGTATAATAACATTTCTTATTTGAGGTGAGTATAATGAATTTTGGGGTCTAACTTCATATGAAAGCTCTTCAGCACTAGTCCAGGACTCATTGTCATGACTGCAGATGCTTCAGAGAATCTTTAAATGTTGTCCTTCAAATTCCTATAAAAATCCTGAGGAGGAACTGTGATTGCAAGGTACTGCCTTGGGTTGGTTTACTCAATAAAGCTGATGTCCAGCATCTGATGCTCTGGCTTATGGCACGGTATCTGCATGCGTGTGTTAAAAGAAGCTCTAGTGAACTTGTGTTGGACAGGGAAGCTTTGCAGTGACAGAGATGTGAATTCCTAGCCAAGCTGGCCAGAAACGTTCTGTAGCTTCACGGGCTAGATGCTAGCTGCATTGTGCCTCAGTTTCCCTATCTGTAGAGTAATGCTGATACTTATTTTTGCCCCCAGGAGCACTGATAGGAATATTCAGTGCATGGGAAGATTTGAAGAAAAGCAGACTCTTGTTTACCCCATGCATAGCCCTGCTGTAACCTCCTGTGGTTTCTGTGGGAGCAGCAGGAGGATTTTCCTGTTTGGAGCAAACTCATTGCTCAAGGATATAGCTGAGGTAAATAGTTCAGTGTGATTCAAGGAAGAGCTAGATACAACTCGGGGTAAGACCAGTCAAGCCACTTCATGTGGGCCAGGATAAAATGTCAGGGGCTGTTACGCATCAGGATGGGAGGCAGATTCCAGCAGATGGAAGGCATCTGGGAGCACAGCTGCGTATCCGTGCAGGCGGGAATGGAAACAACCAGGGCTGGCGGCTGTGGGGACAACAGACACGAAGGAAGGCTCGGTCGGTGTGGGGTGTACCGTCCTGTGTCCCCCCCAGAGGACTCAACTCACCGTTCCTGACTCTCAGGAGTTTAATGCCTTGTTTTGTTTCTTTGCAGGGTCCAAGATTCAACATCTGCTGCTTCTGCCCCCAACGCTGCTTCTGCCCCCACTGCAACCCCTTCTTCTCCTGCTGCCCCATCTCAGCCTTCCACATCCAGCAGCGCCGTTTCTGACGCAGGGAGCGGCAGCAGACGGAGCAGTGGGTCAGGGACCATGGGAGGTCCTGGAGACGGAGGCCCTAATAATGCTACATCCATCCTGTGTAAGTGATGGCTGTGAGAAGGTGTGACACTAAAGAAGAATTTCTGAGGATTAGACCAAGGAGTTGGGGTTCTTGACCCCTGTAGTTGTCTCTGCTTGCTTTAGGCTTTGCATGAGTTGCTTCCACTGGCACAGCTCGGTTTCCCTGCTCAGGATAATGCCAAAGCCCATAGTGAAGCATGTGTAGGGGGTGTCCTCCCTCAGAGCTGGCTGCCGTAGGAATAGAGGATACCCCTAGATTAGTGTGGGTGCAGTTCAGCTGATGTGCTTGTCCTCTTTTTGCAGCTGCTGACAGTTAACTGACTTGCCCCTCTCTCCCCACGTCTTGTTCCCTTTCCAGCTGGCTTTGGTGGCATCACTGGGCTGGGCAACCTTGGGATGGGCTCTGCCAACTTCATGGAGCTCCAGCAGCAGATGCAGCGACAGCTGATGTCTAACCCAGAGATGCTTTCTCAGATCATGGAGAATCCCTTGGTGCAGAACATGATGTCTAACCCTGACCTCATGAGACAGATGATCATGGCCAATCCCCAGATGCAGCAGCTCATGGAGCGAAATCCGGAGATAAGCCACATGCTGAATAACCCAGAGCTCATGAGACAGGTGAGTCAGCATGCCAGGGCCTGTTTAAAGCATGTTCAAGAGCATCTTTGTGGACCAGCTTCAGTGTCTGCTCTCCAAAGGGAGTGTGTGAATGCCAGATCAGTGATTTTAGAGATCTCTTCCTTCCTGCTGTAAGCTCCTGACAAACAGATGGTGGTCTTGAGTTATGTGAATACTGATTACTCAACCCACATACTTGCAACTCTTATCTCCCTTGCAGGGCTATTGAATCTATCATGTGTTGGGCAAAAAAGGATGCTGGGATCATCACAGCATGCTGCATACCAGGCTACTGTGTTCTGAGTAAAAGCAATCACAGAGAAGTGAAGCTACCGTGAAAGCTTTTTGTTTCTCTCTATTTCTCTTGATAGATTAAGTATAGGCTACAGAGCTGTACAGTCAATATTTTACCACGTGGACCAGCTGAGAGCACTAGTCGTAGGCCAGGATCCTAGAGGTCTCGATTTTCTTTATGATCCCGGAAGAGAGGACACATGCCCTAGAGGACTGGCTATCTGGAAGACCAGAGGTTCATCGGAAGGGAAGCGTAAGGGATGAGTGAGAGCCTGAGTGTTAAATAGCCCTTGACAGGACTCTGCTGTTCCTCCAGGAAGACTTGTCAGGAGGTCTTTCTGAGTTGTTGCTGAGTGAGCCTAGTTTCCATCTGCTTCTTGGTTATCTTTCTTTCAACTGTGTCGGCCGTACGTGAAATTCCAGAGCTGCAGGACTACATTGTGAATGATGCATACTTAAGCAGCTCCTCAAATTAGATCTGGATGTTCCTTGTGCAGGGGAGACACATCAGAAGTCTGGAGAGGGCGAATGTCTTGGTTTTCTTGAAATGGGAAGGATCCAATCTCTTCCACCTTCTTAGTTTTTGAATGCAGTCCATCTACTTTGAGTGGGAACATATGGGTGTTAAATGTTTGGATGTCCTGATAGTGCTTAGAAACAAAACAATCTCATCCAGCTGAATTGAGGTTGAGAAGGAAGAGAGCTGAGCAAGGATGGGAGGAGCCAGGATCCCTGGGCTCTCTTTGCTTGGATAAATGATCTCTCTGCTCTCTGACTGTGAAACGGGTTTAATTATACTCTTTCGTCTGGGAGCTGAGATTTAACTCTTTCAGTGCTTGGCTGGTAGATCAAGAGAATACCACTGAGCTGCTAACCAGTCTCTTGGTCCACTCCAGTCTTCCGTGGTGCACATGGGCCTGAGCTTTCCATGTTTTCCTCCTTCTCCCAGACAATGGAATTGGCTCGTAACCCTGCCATGATGCAGGAGATGATGCGGAACCAGGACCGTGCTTTGAGTAACCTCGAGAGCATTCCAGGAGGATACAACGCCCTGCGCCGGATGTACACGGACATCCAGGAGCCCATGTTTAGTGCAGCCAGGGAGCAGGTATTGGCTGCGTTCCTGTAAGTGGGGTGTAGCGTGCTGAGCATGGGAAAGGGCTCTTTACCTGACCCCCGTGCTAACAGGGCGACCTTCCCAAAGCATGGCTGTTCATCCCCTCCCGCTCTAGATGATGAATGCAGCCACTAGCAGGAGAACATTGTGCCATGCCTGTCAGATGCTTTTATTACATGGTTTGGTGTATCTGAGCAGAGACCTGCCCTCGCTTCTCTGGTCTCCAAGCAGGCTGGATGCCAGCCGTCACCGATGTGAAGGCCCCGTAGCTTCGTTAGCACAGCCCTTTGCTCTCAGCCCGGCTTACTGTATTAGCTCAAGCCTGACGCCTTTGGATTGGAGCTGGCTTGGATCCATCTGGCTTGAAGCACAGGAGGAGTGAGCGCAGGTCTGTCTGCAAAAGGCTGTGCAGACATACTCCAGTCTAGCATTACCTACTGGTATGTCCGGGTGCTGATTTTACGTGGATGTTTTGAAGCCCTGCATTTGGGAGCCAAATCTAGGGCTGTGGCCACTTCTTGAGCTGGATCTTTTTCTGAGCGAGGTGTGTTGCGGATTACAGATTTCTCAGGAGGCAAATTATAGCATGTGTTTAGCAAATTCTGGACCTGGATGAATATGATCGGCTGTTCCCTAGCTCATACTGCAGCGAGGTTAGTTCGACATTCTCTGCTGGGGCTAACTGATGACGGCTATTTCTTTCTTTCTTCTTCCCTAGTTTGGCAACAATCCTTTCTCTTCCTTGACGGGGAATTCTGATAGCTCAAGCTCTCAGCCTTTGCGGACGGAGAACAGAGAGCCGTTACCGAACCCTTGGAGCCCCACACCCCCTGCTTCCCAGAGCCAGGCGCCCAGCAGTGAAGGGAGCACTGGCTCGGCAACCACCCAAAGCACACCGACTGTATCCAACCCCTTTGGGCTGAACGCTGCTAGCATTGGGGCTGGTACGTAAGCGAGAGAGGAACCAGAGGGTGCTACTGACGGAACAGGTCACCCAGGCTTCCCTGGAGGGTGGTTCCCTCTGGCATTTGGGTGCCTGCCTGTCCGTGGCTGCTCTCCAGATGAATGATTCTAGCCCAGTTGCGAGCACAAATGGGTTATTTCTTCTGTGCCTGTCGGAGGGTTACTTCGGGAACTTTGATGTCCCTGCAGCCCTCGAGAGCAGGGGAGAGTGGCAAGCAGAGCGCTGCCATGGCTGTCCGCAGCAATATTCACTGTTGGCCAGGGCGTGAAGTAAAGGCGTTGCTATTGTATGTCATGTTGTATTTCAGGCATCGCAGCAGTGCTCAGGCTTCTAAGGGGTTTTCCTTTGTTGTCTTTTCCATTCCCCTTGCAGGCATGTTCAACAGCCCAGAGATGCAAGGACTCCTGCAGCAGATTTCCGAAAACCCTCAGCTGATGCAGAACATGATCTCTGCCCCTTATATGCGGAGCATGATGCAAACTCTTGCCCAGAACCCGGACTTTGCAGCACAGGTATAAGTGGTGCAGTTGTCTTCTATTGTCAGGCCGTGAGCACGGTGCTTGTGAGACCAGTCTGCTTCTATAGTTGGAGTGGTTTCTTTTGCAGAAACCAGAGCGCTGAGTGAATATAGACAGTTTTGTTACGTTTCTTGATAGCTTGAAGGCAGTCACAGTACTGAACCCTGTGTCTTAGCAGAGCCCCTAACAAAAAAGGTGGCTTTCAAAGGGACATGGGAATGGCCCTTCTCTGTGCCCGTGGCCAAGTGGCCCCTGCTCAACGCTGCTGCCAGGAATTGAGCTGTCCTGTTTCAGTCCCCGTTAGCAGGGGGAACTCGTCGAAAGCCCAGGGAGGGAGTCAGGGGTACGGCTTAGTTACGTAGGGTTTTTTTCCCAGCCAGTGGCAGCAACCCTCTGACCCTACCTACGTGTGCTGTCTCTTGCTAGATCATGGTAAATGTCCCCCTCTTTGCTGGGAATCCACAGCTTCAAGAACAGCTCCGCCTTCAGCTCCCTGTCTTCCTGCAGCAGGTAAAGGCCCCTGTCTGGCCCTGTGCTGTTCTCAGCCCCCGGGCTCCAGAGCTTTTCCATCCGCTGTAGGACAGGGAGTATCTCGGCCGCTTAGTCAAGTGGACTAGGAAGCATGTGGGCTTGGGTGGTTTGGGCTGTGAAAGAAAGGGGTTTGCGCAGGGTAGAGAGAAAGGAAGAGCTTGTTTAGACAGGGCAATCTAAATTACCTAAAGGTAGACTTCATATGAGACTAGTTAAGCCATGTGAAACCGCTGTGTGGACAGTCTCTCACTGTAATTAATTTTTTACAAAAATTAAAACAGCTAATTGTGCTAGAGCAGCTAGTTCACTCAGGTAAATCAAATAAAATCACTTCAATTCCAAAGGCATATGCCCCCAGTTCTAATCTGATTCACCTAGTTCATTTAGGAAATTTGATCTAAACTCTATGAGTATCTCTGTAGATGAGCCCTGCAGTCTGGAGACTTGAAGGAGGAACCAGACTCACGGGTTTGCTCTGGCTGCAGGGTGAGAGGCGCAGCTCAGTGCTGATTGTTCGGATTTAAAGCTGGTGGGTCTCTGGCTGCGGCAGCTCTCGCTGTTTGGTACCGCTGTGTCTTTTTGCCTTTGTTCCCAGATGCAGAACCCAGACTCCCTCTCCATTCTCACCAACCCCCGCGCCATGCAGGCGCTCCTCCAGATCCAGCAGGGACTCCAGACGCTGCAAACGGAGGCCCCAGGACTAGTGCCAAGGTAATAAGCGCTTCAGAGTGGGTTTCTGCAGGCAGAGCTGACATGCTTGATACCAGCAGGCAGACTAGCTGTTGATTCATCGAGGAGATCTGCTTAGGGCACTCTGTCATGGGGACTTCTGCGTGTATGTGTGCCTGCAGGCCTCTCTGAGCTCCAGCTAATTAGCACTTTCTGCTTGTTTGTACTTTACGTGGGAAGTTGTTGACCCTTTTTTTTGGGGGGGGGGGGTGGCGCAAAGGCTTGGAAACCACTTGGTCTCTCCCCATCTTTTGTTTGCTGTATTCGGTGTTGGCTGAACTCAAAAATTTTGTCTCTGGAGAACAGTACGAGATGCACAGCCCCGAGGCTGGGTGGGTGCGTTGGGGCAGCCTGCTCTGCCGGCAGCGCTCGGGCCTTCTGCTGTCTGTCAGCGTGGGTCACGTTCAGTCTCTGCAGTTCCTTTCAGGCCTGCGCCTCTGTTAGGATTGCTTACTCCCAGCACTGTGTGTGACCAGGATACAAACGCAGCCGGTTTAATTTACAAAGCTGTCCTGTAGTTTGGGCCTCAGCGAGGGCCAGCCTGGCAGAGCCTGCTGGTTACTGTGCTGCCTGGCTCTCAGGGGACACCTAGAAGTGCCAGCTCGCCTCTGAGCACGCCCTGCCTTCCTCTGCAGCCTCGGCTCCTTCGGCATGCCTCGAATGCCCCCGTCCTCCACAGGAGGAAGCACAATCCCGGAGAACCCTGTTCCTTCCGCTTCGACGCCGGCCAGTGCCTCTCCAGCTGGGGGTGGTAACCCCCAACAGCAGCTCATGCAGCAGATGATCCAGCTGCTGGCCGGAGGAAACTCTCAAGTATGTAATGCCCAGCCGCATGCTGATACGCTTCTGGGGAGGGACATCTCCAGGGTGAGCTAGAGGTTGTCCCGATCCCACCCCGCTCTAGGGACATGGTCCCCAGCAGGTTTCTCTTGGCGGTGGTGTCTCGGGCTGGCTAGCTCTTTGGGGTGTAGTAACCCTTTGCACAGGTTTGAAGCTAAGAGTGCCAGGGATCCTCCTCCCAGCGCTGCTGTCGCTGTAGGTACAGAGCTTGGACTAACTGTGCGTAGTGTGGGGAGGTTGGTAACATCACTAAGTGAGCCCAGAGTGTTTCTGTACGCCTGAAGCTGAGCTCAGGCTCCCTGCTCAGCCGTCGTTGCTGGCCCTGCCCGTCTTGGATGTTGATCTCTGCTGTCTGACTCTAAGGCCTTTGTCCTTTCCCTCCGTAGGCGCAGAGTCCTGAAGTGCGATTCCAACAGCAGCTGGAGCAGCTGAACGCCATGGGCTTCATTAATCGTGAGGCCAACCTCCAGGCGCTTATTGCCACTGGTGGAGACATCAATGCAGCTATTGAGAGACTGCTGGGCTCCCAGCCTTCCTAAACTCTTGTCATGCTGCCCCGCAGACGTCAGCACACGCATCCATACACATGCACAGGGGGATCTTTCAGGAAAGCCCACCATCATTTTCATATCTGACAGCTGTCCATGTATTTAAAACAAAAAGATACAGCTTAACCCCTGACCTTCCTACTAAGTTAAGATTTCATGTTGAAATGCTCTTTAACTGGCTTGTATGTGGATTCCAGTTCTCATCGTGGCCACAGAGACTTCAGATGTGTATTTTTTCCTAAATATGCCCTCTGTCTCAGACACTCTTCTCTCTCTCTCTAGATGGTAGAGGCGATACTTCTAGTTACTTACCTGAATGATTGTGTTTTGAGTAGCTTGATTTTAACTGTACATGATTCCCTCCCCTAGCCCTCCTTTCAGGCAAATATTTAAAACTTGAGCCAAGTTTGGGTTTTGGTTATTTCTCCCAGCATCTTATTGGGAATGGATCAAAAGAAAAATTGAAATGACCTGGAAATTTCTGATGTCATTTGTCTTAATGTTCCATTGAATGAACTGAGCCTGTGTCCCTTGCACACGGGTGCCTCTCATCTCCTGGTAGAGGGTTAATGTACATGAAAACTACATTTGAAGTGTGGCCTCTTTACACTCTTGGGATGGTGTAAAGGAGCCTAGATGCCTTGAGGGATCAGGCTTGCTGTTCTTGAACTTGAGTTGAAAGTGCCGTGCAGAAGAACGTGTTCGAAAGGTGTGTTTCTGCCCAAGCGATTTTCCTTCTTGCGCAGCGGTGTCAGGGGTTTGTTGACTCTTGTGCTCAGTAGGCTCGTTCCTGAAAGTGTGAAAACAAAAAAAGGAAATAGAAAAATAAGTTAACGATCTTTTCGCTTCACTGGAAAATGTTGAAGTTCATGTTCTTCCCAGTTTAGATCCATCCTTCATTTCCCCCCCCCCTCCATTTTGGTGTGTTTGAATGTTACGACTCTCCAAGAAACTCCCCGAGGACCAGCAGGGTGATATTTTCCCAAGAGCCTCCATGGCTGTGTAATTTGCATACCATTTTTATCAAAGAAAAATAAATGCGCACAACCATCTGTCTCCCTGCACTCCATGTATCTTCCTTGATTGCCACATTTAAGCTGATTGAGTTCCCATAGTTACTTGTGATTAATCTGTCTTGTCCCCCGTGCTTACCTCTTTGCAGATAGTGAGGGGTGTCGTGCAACCTCCCCGCCTGGCCCAGCTTGTGGCAGGAAACCTTTCTAACGCTGCCGAAGGCTTGCCCAAAACCTGGCCCTGAACGTGCCCGTTTGGAAGTTTCCTTTGAACTGGGGACCCTCAAGTATGTGTACGACAATCCTTGGTAGTTCTGCAGCATTTGGGTGACCTGATGTACGGTGTATATATAAGAAGCCAACGGGTTCTTTTGCTGACCTCGGAGGCGTTTGCTCGCAGCTGGCCGGTGCCCAGGGGAACCTGGGCAGCTCTGTGCACAGTGGATTTTACCCCCCCGCTTTTCTGTAGCAAGCACAGTGCTTGCTAGGTGGGTGTTAGTATTCTGGGGTTTTTTTGTTTGGTTGTTGCTTTGTAAAGTTTTCTTTTGGTAGGGGAGGATTGAGTAGTGAGAGGGAATGGGAGGAATCCTGGCGCTGCTTTCTGGTATACCTGTAAAACCTGCTGCACCCAGCTTGCTTCTGAGTTGGAGATGGGATCTATCAATATTCTGTGTTGTTGGAGAGTGTAGGTGGAGCAGTGGTTGCTTGAGAAAACATGGGAGTGCATGCGGGCTGGAAATGCTCCTGCCTTTGTGTATATGCATCACAAGATGATGGGGTTTTTTTAGATGAGGATTCAGAAAACCTAGCTTTAATCTCTTCTCTTGGAGGCTGTGCACATACGTGTGGATTTCTTCTCGCAACCTCTCCTCCAACGTAAAAAGAATTTGCAAAAAGGTGTGTAAGGATGGCTGCTGAAGTTCCTGATTGTACTGGCAGGGTCAGAGCTCTTTCCTAATGTTGCTAATCGGCCCCTTTGCAGCTAAAAATGGGCTTATAAAAAAAGCCTGTACGGTCCTTCGTGATCTCTTAGATTTAGCAGATATCCTTTGCCCGCACTAAGGGCTGTTTATCTCTGCAAAGGTTCTATCCTTGCAAGCCAGCTCTTGCAAAGAATGCGCTTGTGGGAGTTGTGGACAGGGGATGGGGTAACCGAGTAAGTGAGAGGGAGCAGAGGAGGCAGCTGGAAGGAGAGGTGGTGCTGCCGGAGCGTGGAGATGTACCCCCACCTTTGCAATAAGGTTGTGCTCTGCGACTGAACCTCTTTGAAAAGCAAAACTAGTCCCAAACCCCGTTGTTTCTGGCCAGCCAGAAACAGTCCTTCCAGCTCCCTCAGCGTTAGCAAGGCGTGCTGATGCGTAAATCGCACCAACGTGAGGGGATCTGTGTGCGCGTGAGGGGAGCTGGTGTGTGTTTGGGGGGGGGTCCGGCGAGGCCAAAGCACTGAGCCTGCCGCGAGGGAGGGCTCCTGCGAGGCTGCGGCTGCCGTTGCTGTCTCGGCTTGGACCGGTGAGGTGAAGCAGAGTTGGTGGGTGATGCTTCAGCGTGGCCGAGATGAGGCTGGAGCTCAGCGACACAGAGTTGTCTGCTCGGTGCCTGTGAGCGAAGCTGGCTGGAAATACCTGCGTGGTGGGGGGATCCTGCTGGCAGCGTAGGCAGGCTGCTGTGAGTTATTGAGGGGAATTAATGTGCTGCTTGTGGAAGTTCTTGCTAGGATATTTTTTCTTAAGCTGGGGTCCTGCTTTTCCTGGGCTCTGGACCATGGAAGTGTGTGGAAGCCGTTCTCCAATGCTTCCCATAAAGGAGGATAACGATTGTCATCTATCTGGGGGAGATGCTGAATCTTCACAGGCCGTGCAGTCCTTGGTGTCTCTGGTTGTTTAAGCCGGAAAACATATTTCTCCTGTCTCTCCATGTCACAGCATCTGCTCTTGTGTCGGTTTGAGATCATTCCTCACCTGCTGCCAGCCCACCAGCCAAGGTGCTAAAATAAAGATAACAGGGCAGCCTGCTATCTCAGCTTGCAGCCTCTGTTTGCATCTGATGTTCATCTACCAGCAATCCAGCTTCCCCCGGGCAATTTGGCAAAGCCGCCACCCTCCGCGCTCTCCTCCTCGCTGCTCCAGAGGGGCTTTGCCATACTTGCGTGGAGCAGCCGGATGGATTTGTGGCTCTGGCTTTGGCGTTGGAGCAGTGCAGAGAGGAGCAGCCGCTTTCCCCACCCGCCCCCGCGCGGGGCAGGTTTTTTTTTCCAGCCGCTTCCCCCCCCGGCCCCAGCGCGGGGCAGGGGACAAGCTCAGGGGAACGCTCTGTGCTGGCGCGGCTTTCTCCAACCCCTCAGCCCTCACAGGAGTTATTTCCCCCTGAAGTTGTGCTGAACGCTGTCTCTTTAGCGGGTTTGCAAGCTCTTCCCTGTAGCTGCTACAACTGATGCTTTGGTCCTCCTTATTCCTTGGGGAGCAGAAAAGCATCGTGATGTGCCCGGGCACCGGGATGAAGTGCTGAGCTCCGAGCTCTGCACCGGCCTGGGGAGCCTCTGGTCTTGGCTCTGGGTAGGGTAGTGGGAGCAGCAGCGTTCCCACCCTGGGAAAATGGGGGAGAAGCGGGGAGGGAAGGGCCCGTGGGTTCCTCAGCACCACCGGTGGGTGGAAGGGGCCATGGGGTGGGACACAGCGGGGCTGCGGTCGGAGGAGCCTGGAGGTGTGATGGATGTAGCCCCTCCAGCCCTGGGTATCTGCAAAGGGATTCGGGTCCGTCGCAGCCAGCAGCCCAGCACGGTCTCACCTCCGGTCGGCCGGGGCTTGGGAGGAAAAGGCGGCTTTGAAAATTGGTGAGAAGAGAGCTTTTTAGTGAAACCTTAATCCCCTCCAGAGAGCTCTCCCTAATCCTCGGTAATGTGCTGTTCAAAAGCGCTCTTTCAAAGGAACAATTGCACTTCTCGCTGTTGTATCTCTCCTTCCCCGAGGAACTGCCCAAAGGTGTTCCTTGCTGACTGTTTCCTCTCATTTTTCTCTGATAAATACAATTAATTCCTTTAAAATATAATGGAAGGAGCAATTTCCTCAGCAGGTAGTGGTGAATCTGGCTGATTGATTTGGAGAGATTTCTGCTGTCAAGGACTTATTTTCACTTTATTCCTTCCCCCCCCCTCCCTGGAGGCGAACCGCAGCCTTTTCCCCCAATAACCAAACTTAACACTTTGAAATCAAACCTCTTAAACGTGGAGGAGGGAGATATTGTAGGGAACGAACAACTCAATTTCTTTCAAGAAACCTTTTTTTTTTTTTTGTTTTTTTTATTTTTTTTTATTACTAAGATCCCTGGCCACGACATGGGCTGTTTCCTGCGGCCACAGCCCTGATTACGGGGGTGGAAGTTTAAACTAACTCTGTTAATAACTTCTGAATATGCTGCAAGAGCAGGGAAGTCTCCCAGGGTTAAGAGGTCACGGAGTGGGATAGCTTGGGGAAAAAAAAAATAAATAAAAATGTATGTCTGTTGAACTGCTGCAGCATCTTCTTTGCCCGGCCACAGGAGCCGTGAGGAAGGTGGAGCAGAGGTGGAGCAGGCTGACTGATGCTCCTTGGCCTCTCTGCTCGATTCTGCAGCGTTTCAGGGTAGAAAACCAGGATTTAGAGAGTGCTTGGGACATCACCAGCTCCCTCAGCTGCCTGCCAGCCCGCAGTGACCGTGTCACATGCAGCTCCATATTCACCTTGCTCTGACTTGGTTTATTTTTAATTTCTCCAGCGAGTTGATACCTTGTTCCTTCCAGCTTCTGGCCCGGTCCTGGCCGTGTTTCACCAGGGTTTGCACGTGGGTGCAGCATTCCCGGCTTGCGGGGTTGGCTGTGCTGGAGCCGGCAGTGCCTGCCGGCGTGTGAGCCTGTGCCCGGGGCAGGGTGGAGACTTGGATTTGTTGTTTGCTCCCCTTGACGTTGGAAACAACAAAATCCCAAGTCTTCCAGCCTGCCCCAGGGCTGAAGGATGTGCAGGTGGCGAAGGGTGGTCCGGAGAGCGTCACCGGAGCTGCCCTGGGGAGAGAGAAGGGGAGAGGGGTGACGTTTGGGCACCCGCCCTCCCCTCTGGGTCTGCGCGTGCCCCTGTGTGGCCCCCGCGCGGGGTCAGGCTGGGTCCGGCTGACGCACCCGGGCTTGCACCCATGGGTGCACAAGGGGCTGTGTCACCTGCAGCAAACCCCAGCGGGTCTCTGATGTGCACCGGGAGAGGGGCCCAGGGTGCCAGAGGGGTTTAGTGGCCCTTGGCCACCGCTGGCAGAGG